GTGTACATGTATCTATTCATGTCATGTCTATTTTTTTCTATAGGATATGTAGCTAGTTGTGGGATTAATGGGTCATATGATGCAAAAACCATGTGGGAACCATTTCTGACTTCCCTTGACTTTATCAGGGGGAAAGACAAATCAAACTAAAAATTAGTCCAAGGCCAATTCTTTTGACGCAGAGGTCAGACCTGCTTCTACCCTAAAACCTTCTGCACCCTATTCTGACACAACCATTCCTCCCACAGCACTCTGCTTTATGTCTAGGTTTGAGAATCCATTGCAATGACCACACAGAACTCATAACAATACTGACGATTGTGGAGTTTATTAGGGAAGTGAACAGGGAATAATTCAGGATCAGAACCAACTCAGGACACAGCAGTTCTCCAGTAAGGAACGTCTCTTCTCTGCCATACTATAGGCACGCATCACACTTGTCTTCAGCCTCTCAGCCATGTGGTCCCTTGGCTTCTGCCCTGCTTGTGCAAGTGTTACAGAACTCTTTCAGCCAGTCTGTGAATGTTCTAAAGGCACATTCTTCAAGCCAGTCTCCTGGCTTTACTCAGTCCATGGGCCTAGAGCCCAAAGCTGCTGTCTCTCTATGCCACCGCCTCCATCACCTCTGCCATCACCTCTGCCCTCTCTGGTTCTCTAAGTAGGGATCTCGTGCCTCACTCATGCTCTTCCTTCTTGTTGGTCCTGGGATCTTCCATCTCTGCTTCTGAGATGACTCCTTTCAAACCTAGGTTGGAGGGCAAAACTAACCAATCCCAGCCTTAGAGTCTTGTATACCTTATTTGCATGGTCCCACACAATCACTTGGTGGGAATTAAGAAGAGTTTGACTAGGAAAGCCATATTAAGTTAATTCAGGGTACCACATATGATATCTACACTTTCAACTTTTTTAAGGAAGTGCCATCCCATTTTCCACTGCAGCTGTATCATTTTATAGTCACACCAACAGTGTATGAGAATTCTAGTCTCCCCACAGCCTCTGTTGTTTTGGGTTTTTTGGGGTTTTGTTTTTTTATCATTGTTATTTTTACCAGCCAAGATTTCATTGTATGGATATGCATCACTCTACTGGCTAATAATAATGTAATGATAATGAGAATCTTTTCATGTGTTTGTTTTCTTCCTGAATGTCATTTTTGGTAAAGTTCATGTCTTTTGCCCATTTTTAAAATTGGACTGTTTGCTTTTTTATTGTTGAAATATTGTTTTCTACAAATTTGAGACATTAGCCCTTTGCTAGATATGTCATTTTCAAAACTTTTCCCAGTGAGTAGGTTGTCTCTTTACTCTGTTGGAGAAGTGGTTTGATGTGCATAAGTGTTTCAGCTTTAGGAAGAGTCCCAGTCACTAGCTTGTCTTCTATTGTTTGTGCATTTTTAGTTATCTTTGATAGACTGTTTATACCATAAATTAGAGCCTATAACTTTGCCCCAGGAGCACTGGTGGCACTGTAGGATAAGCATTAGACTGATAATCACAAGGTCAGTAGTTCAAACCCACCAGCTGCTAAGATGAGTCATTTTGCGCCTGTAAAGATTTACAGACTCGGACCTGCATCCCAGCAAGAGCCACTTCTACTTTACTCTCTTCCTGCCTTGCTCTTGCCTTGTAGACAGTACTGGTGGTGCTGAGACCCAGCAGGGACCAGACTCACTTACATTACCACAAGGACCAAATACTTAACACTCGGCCAAGGTGGTTTCAGTGGAGGAACCACTGATGTACCTGGAGGCAAGGCTGGTGGACCTGATCTTTGACCCAGACCGAGCCTCCATTCAGAAAATTGAGTGGTTATGCAAGATCCTGTAGGCTGTTGATATGATGGATTCCAGGGCTCTAGCCAAAATCCAAGTCTTTGGACCACCCTGGTTACAGAATCGGGTAAAGAGTCAGATTCTGGCTGAGGTATCATGGTACCAGAAACATCATCAACAAAGTGAAAAGATGGAACATCTTGAGAAGTTCTTGAAAGCTCATACTTTGGGTCCTCAGCTCCCTAGCACCTTGTAGCTCAAGAGTATCCCATGATCCTCAGGAATATGCTAAACACAGTCCTGCTTCTGCCACTGGAGCTGAAGGGAGACATGCACCCTGAAGTCTCTGCATTCCATTCTCTTGTGTCTTCATGAATAGTCCGTAGATAATTTTATTGCAGACATGAGTTTGTAGAGCCCTTCTAACAAGGAAATTAATTATCTTGCAAAAAAAAACACCACAAGAACATGCAGGTTACTTGCCCAGAAGACATCAAGGCAAGTGATCGGGTCCTCTCAGCGCAAATCCTCTTCCAAGACGAAGACGCAAGGGAAATATACACTTTGATCAGCAACCACACATGTCACCCATAAGGGGTAGTGACCGAAGAACATCAATGAAGCGGTGAGCTAAGCCATACATCGTTCAGCAGACTACGGTGAACCCTGGTGGAGACCTGGTCGGCCAGCAGTGAGGCAAGACCTGGGGACTCATGGGCACATAGTCAATGACACAGCCACAGAGAACTAGAATGGAGAGCAGGGCAGCCAGTCAATAAAAAGAGGGCGGACAAACGCAAGAACACCCCCACTTGCAGATGATAACCCACTTGACCTGGCTTCAATGACTGGATGAACCGAGCTCAACCCGAAGGAGAAAGAAGAGGAAAAAAGTGTCATCTGATACAATTCAATAAACCTGACCTACACCTATAAATGCAGTAGCTCAAAAGAGGAAATAAATCCCTGCTGCAAGAACTATTCCCATTCCCTCCACACAAAGAGTAGACAGGGATGGGCAACTTAGACATTGGCTACCCAAAATGGGGGGAGGGATACAAAGGTAAGAAGTGACTGGCTTACAAGCTTTCAAGAGGGAACCTAGATACAAAGAATGTGGAGGAAGGTAGTCTCCAGTGAATAGTATCCAGCCTGTCCAGGAACGACTGATGAAATGAAATAAATATGGGTCTCTTGTGATACAATAGTGAATAATTGTTATCAGTACTGATTGTGAGGGTTGGAAATCTAAAGGTGGACATTTTGTAGCAAGGAGGGGAGTGATTAACTTTTCAGTCTAGGAGCGGAGGACCCTGGGACCATCAATGGAGAAGAGTGGAGAGTGGCATCCTAACCAGAGAAGCAGTGAGGCCTGAGATGGAGGCAGAGAAGACGACGTGAAGAGATGGAGTGGCTAGGGACTTGGGATCCAGAGAGGGAGAGGGGCTGAGGACTATGGGGGTGGGGGTGGGGAGGGCAGGCTTGTAGGATACACCCTTTGGTTGGGTGAGGATGCATGGACAGGATGGTAACTATGCCAATGAAACGATAGATGATAGAATGAATGTAAAACTAATGTTTTCCCATGTAGACTTGAATCACACAATTCACAGTAAAACATTTATTCAAAAAAAAAATATTTATAGCCTCGGAAACTCTACACAGGGAAACTATGAGTTGTAATAATTCGATGGCACCTAACCACAACAGCTTTACCTCAGTTTTTCTTCCATGGTCTTTGTTGTTTTAGGTTCTATATTAGGTCTTTGATGAGCTTGAGTTCATTTTGTATGTGATGTACAGTATGGATCCCGGATGGTTTTTCTGTAAATGGATATCCAGTTTTGCCAGCACCAGTTGTTAAAGAGACTATCTCTTTTCCCATTTAATAGACTTTGGCCCTGTATCAAAGGCCAGCTGTCCATGGATTTACTTTTGCATTCTCAATTCTGTTCTGCGGGTCTCTACACCATTCCTGGGCTGTTTTGTCTTCTGTGGTGGTGTAGGAGGTTTTGAGGTCAAGAAGAACCTTTTCCATAAAATTTTCATGCCTCTATGTCTATTTTTTTTTAAGGAGCTCTGGTAGCGTAGTGGTTACGAATCGGGCTGTGAACCTTAAGGTCAGCGGTTCGAAACTACCAGCTGCTCCGCGGGAGAAAGATCAGGCTTTCTACTCCCGTAAGGATTTACACCCTCGGAAACCCTGTACAGGGTCGCTATGGGTCGGAACCGACTCGACGGCACTTAACAACAACTTAACAATGTCTATTTTTAAGGAGCTCTGGTAGCGCAGTGGTTATGAATCGGGCTTGAACCTTAAGGTCAGCAGTTCGAAACTACCAGCTGTTCTGCGGGGGAAAAAAATAAGGCTTTCTGCTCCCGTAAAGATTTACAGCCTCGGAAACCCTGTACAGGGTCGCTATGGGTCGGAACCAACTCGACGGCACATAACAACAACATGTCTATTTTTAAACTGTGCTTTTTATGAACAAATGGAGTTTGTACACAGAACATTTTTGCTCTTAAATTAGTAGTTACCAAATTAAAAAATGATGCTTTAAAAAATTCAAAACATAATGTTTTTACAAAAGATGAGCTCCTCCTTCCATAAGTTCAGAATTTCTAGGAATTTTGCCTAAATCAAAGGGAAAAAAATTCCTGTTTCTAATCTTGTTGTTATTAAGTGCCGTTATTTTATACTTTAAGATATACCTCATTTCATCCTTATGAATTACACGAGGGCTAATGCTTACATAACAAAGGAGCTTCAAAAAGTTTGTGGAAAAATTCCATTATCTTTTAGTTTCATTGTTCCATGGACTTTTTGAAGCATCTTTGTATACTGACATAAGAAAAATGACCCTTCTGAATGCCCTGTTTTACTTAGCAATGGTCATTTGTTTTTATTGTAAAAACACTTTGCATGGAATACTCTTGTAGGTCTGGTTCCTGCAGTATTAGATAGTGCTGGATCTGCCAGTTACTTTGGGTTCTTATCTGGGGTATGACGAAGAGAAAGACATTGGAATTCTCAGAAGGATGCAGTTGGTAGATTCTGTCTCTCTCAATTGAGGTAAGAGAAATAATTCACAGCTTTCTAGACTTGTAGGTAGACTAGTTCTGCTCTACTACGTCTACTTCGTAGAGAATGCAAACTTGGTACTTCTGTTGTTATGGGTCTGTGTCTAACACAAAGATACTTACTTGGTCTTTCCTTTGTTGGCAGGTGAGATGTCCCATCATGAAGTTCTGGATGCTGCTTCCCAAGGAATAAATGTCATCCTTTGTGAGCATAGCAACACTGAAAGAGGCTTTCTTTCTGACCTTCGAGATATGCTGAATGTTCACTTGGAGAATAAAGTGAATATTATCCTGTCAGAGACAGACAGGGACCCTCTTCGAGTGGTATAATGTGAATAAGATCAATAGGTTCATACAATCAATCAATAGATTGTGTGACATGAGTCAGTAGAGTTTTTGCCTTTCTGGTGTTTGTTTGTTTTTTTCTAGTGTATTAATCTGGTTCACCAAATGTGTTATATAGTTCATAGAGTTAAAATTTTATTGTGATTATTATATTAAATAGTAAATATTCATTATAATCTCTAGGGAAGATTGACAAGAATCTGTGTTTAATAATGAGGAAAAGTAGCTCAAGTAATCCTCTCATTAGCTTAATTATGCATGCGATGAGTCAGTCTGGTTATCTCTGCCTTTGGTTAATTAAAAAATATATTTTAAAAAATTGGAATTGAAACATTTATAACAAGTTAGTAGTCTCTTTAGGGTGATACGGTCTGTGTGTATGTTACTTATATCACCAATCTCCCCTAGATTGCAGAATCCGAACGAGATTGATCAGCATTTAAGTTCACACACAGACACACAGACTCCTAGAAGACTCATGGGACACTGATCGGCATCTGCACACCCACATCCATCGTAGCATTACTCACAGCCCCAGAGGGAAACAACCTAAGTGTCCCATCAATGAACACCATGTAACGATGCACACACTGAATCTAGGAAACATGGGAAAACAGAGATGAGTCTGGAGGACATTATGCTGAGTGAAATAAGTCAATCACAACAGGACAAATACTGTATGAGCCCACTGTTATAAAAAGGTTTAAATGCAGGGAAAAAAATTCTTTAATGATTACTAAGGAGCTCTGGTAGCGTAGTGGTTACGAATTGGACTGTGAACCGCAAGGTCAGCAGTTCGAAACTACCAGCTATTCCGCGGGAGAAAGATGAGGCTTTCTGCTCCCGTAAAGATTTACAGCCTCAGAAACCCTGTTCAGGGTCACTATGGGTCGGAACCGACTCGAGAGCACATAACAACAACAGGGAGAGGAAAGGGAAGGAGGAAGAAGTACTATTTAGATAGTAGAAAAAGGTTCATTCTGAATACAATAAGGAAAAGACAAATAATCCCGTTTAAAAATGGGCAGAGGACACGAACAGATACTTCACTAAAGAAGAAATTCAGATGGCCAACAAACAATCGCTCAAACACAATTCTACATCTATCTTCGGTGAGTAGCGTCTGGGACCTTAAAAACTCCTGAGCCATCTAAGATGCAACTGTATATCACTTCATGTGTAGAAGAAATAAGAGTGATCAATATTGAAGATGCATGGAATCAAGTAGTCCAGTAGACCAATGCAACCGGTGGACATCAGTCTTCACCACTCTGAAACCAGAAAAACTAGATGTTGCCTGGCCTCCACTACCAGTTTCTCTGAAAGTGATAACATTAGAAAGTCCTAGATAGCATAGTGGTTATGACTTGGGCTGTTAACTTCAAGGTCAGCAGTTCAAAACCACCAGCTGCACTGTGGGAGAAAGATGAAGCTTTCTGCTCCCAGAAACATTTACAGTCTGGGAAGTCCTATGCAGGGCCACTATGAATAGGAACCGACTCCACAGCACACCATCAGAACAAAACTCAAAATTAAAAAAAAAAAAGACTGGACTCATTGGTCAGAAAGAGACTGAAGATCTGGAAGGAACTCACTCTCATGACCCAAGCAGTGGCTCTGTGTATAGTGGGGGGAATAACACCTGTGAGATATACTCAACATGAAATGGTCATTCAAAATCAAAAGGGCAACATTTACTGAAAGACAAAGTAGAGAAGGGATGGGAAGGTGGATAGAATGGAACTAGGAGCCACTCGGAGGAAGTGTTGTAATCACTGTTGAATGGAGGGATTGCATTCATTGAGATGAGACAAAGCATATGATTTATTAAATGTAAAACCTTTGATCTTGTTAAGAAACCCTTCACTTAATTCACAGAGTATTTTTAAAAATGCTCGAGATTATTAGCCATTGTTGTTAACTGCTGTCAAGTCCATTCTGACCCATAGCAACCCTGTATAGGGTTTCCGAGGAGCAGCTGGTGAGTTTGAACCGCCAGCCTTGCAGGCTTTGCAGTCTGGCACATTAACCCACAGTGCCACGCCAGAACTCCATTTAGCCAGATGCAAATCAAAACAGCAATGAGCTATCATCTCACCCCAGCATTAATAACAAAGTTAAAAAATGCTGGCAAGGATGTGGAGAGACTGGAACCCTTGTATACTGCTCGTTGAACTGTAAAATGGTGTATCCGCTGTGGAGGACAGTATGGGAATGTTAGGGTGAGGGGACAGGAGAAGTTACTGAGGAAAAAAATCAGTAGTGGCAGCAGCAGGTTAAGATCAAAAGAACCATTGAAAAAACCTCCAAATACGAAGAACAGAGAGGGCCAGGAAGTGGACAAGAGCTAGGATATAAACAAGATAAACTCTCCTTGTGCATCTAGAACCCCATGGGGTTTGTGAAGGAACACAGTGGGGTTGTTAACCATCACCTATTAACAAGGTTTTACTAATTGGGCTGCTAATCTCAGTCAGCAGTTCAAAACTACCAGCTGTTCCATGGGAGAAAGATGAGGCTTTCTGCTCTCATAAAGATTTACAGCCTCAGAAACCCTATGCAGGGTCGCTATGAGTTAGAACCGACTCCACAGCACATGACAACAACAAATAAGGTTTTAAGGAACTCTGGTAGCATTTGTTGTTGTCATGTGCCGTGGAGTCGGAACCGACTCATAGCGACCCCATGCACAGCAGAACAAAACAATGTCCGATCCTGGGCCAACTTCACTACCGCTGCCACACTTGAGTCCATCAATGATGCC